GCTGGCCCCCGCCGAGGTGTCGGAGGTGATCCTGGGACAGGTCCTCACCGCAGGTACGCGGGCGGCGGGGTCCCCCTTCCCGCGGCCGGGCGGGCTCTTCCTCTCTGCGGCCGCCTACCCCCTTGGCTGCCCCGCCGGAACGGCCGGGTTCGGGTTTCGGAGCGTCGTTGCTCGCCGCTGCTCCGCTAACAAAGGACTTGAGTGGCATCTTGGTGGCTTCTCCGTTAGCTCTGGATGACCAGACCCATTGCTGGGCTTTTGGAAGGGGTGTGGTGGGGGGATAGTTGGGGTTTTTTTAAATCTCAAAAGTAGCTAACAGTGTACTCGTGAAAGTCAGTTTCTTTTCTTTGTTACAGCATTCCTTCTTGCGCGTTGGGCAACCCCTCTCGTAAACTTAGCATCATTAAGTAATGATAATTCTGAGACGTTAAGAGTGAGGCCTGTGTTTGCGTTTATCTGCAAGACCGACCTGCGAGATCTGTGATGCCACTTACCTGGAGACAAGTATTTTGATTTAATGAAAATGCAGCTGATAAAGATTGTTTGTTTTGAATGGCCCCTGGCTTTTTTCCAGGGTAATGTTTAATCAGTAGAGTCGTAGGGCAGGCTTGTATTTTAAAGATGGAGGAAGAATATAAAGGAACTAAATATTTTTATCTTACTTAAAGCTGATCCAGATTTCTGTATATTTTTAGCTCGATGAATGATGTGCTCTCCTTATCCTTTTCTTTGCGTACAAAGGGCTGGTATTACTTTGACCTGGGGAGCTGCAGATGAAATGTTTTCTTTGAATATAGTGCTCCTACTCTCTCCATCACCATTACAACAGAGAATGGAAGCTTTTGGGACTGTCCTTGAATAAGCATGCTTTTGGTTTCCATACGGAAAGTTGTCTGCTGGTGATGTACAGAAGATGTCCAAAAGAAATCCTTCAGCGAGTAGCAATTTAAATGAGTTCTTACCTTACAGGCTAGTGCTGATTTGAAGTTGGTGTTTCATCTGACGTGCCATCAAAAGCAGAGTTGCAAATATTAAACTATCGGTAGGAAATCCCTGATCTTGCAGCTATTTTATTGATCAACAGTATAAATGAGAGAGGTAACTGAGCTATTCTTTACAGACTGGTGGGAACTTCTTTATCTACTAACTGAAAATAAAAGCAAGCTCTAAGTTTTGGTGGAATCAGGGTACCTGATGTGAGAAGTGACAAGGCTGGCATTTGTTTTTTAAGAACAAACAAAGGAAAAAACACTGCCTGTTCCTGCAGGTGCTGGCCAGAACCCTGTCCGACAGGCAAGTGTTGCTGCGGGAATCCCTTACTCTGTGCCTGCCTGGAGCTGCCAGATGATCTGCGGGTCAGGCTTGAAAGCAGTATGTCTGGCTGCTCAGTCCATACTGACGGGAGACTCCAGCATCGTGGTCGCAGGCGGCATGGAAAGTATGAGCAAGGTAAAGCAAACGATTGCACTGACTGACTGGGAGCAAACAGCATTAGGTTATGTTGAAACCCTGTATTTAGGCTAACGCTCTGGAGGCAGATTGAAAGACTAGCTTTGGTTTCTGCACTTGGGAATGAATTTGCACATGCAACAACTGACTTCAGTAGCCTTTTTAAAAAAAAAAGACCTCATACTGTAGCCACTGAAAAGGTGCCATGGAAACACACACATTTAAAATTCCATTTTAATTTCTACCTAGCCCTGTTTTGGTGCATGACTTGTTTGTGACAGTTGGCAATAGACAGGGTTTTTTTGCATTGCAAGAAGCCCAAAGAAGGATTAACTGGAAACATTATTGTTTGCCAAGCAATTTGAGCTTGGAAAGGAAATGAAGCATTTTTATTTCAAGGTGTTCATCCCATGGCTGTATTGAGACATGGTGCTGGGCCAGTGATCTGATGCCTAGGCAGCGGATGGCCTCTTCTGCCGGGGGCTCACTTGCTGCCTGTGCTGAGTGATGTTGGTGTTCACTGGCAACGGAGTGTTATCAGAAACTACCTAGAGTAGGCTGGTAAAATGGGGGACCCACAGCTGTATGGCCCCAGGGATGAGTGATTTGATCTGTGGAGAGAAAATGCTTGCTGCTTGGTGATGTGCTGCTGGGGAAATGCACTGGCCAGAGTGTTCTGGCTGGCAGACTGCGGAGGGAGAGACAGAGCAGGTAGCCAGGGAGACTGCTGGTATTTGGCATAGCTAGCTGCAGGGCAGGGTCTGTCTCTTCAGCTGTCTGGCTGTATCGTGCACTGGAGATGTAAAACATCTAACTGCTTTCGAAATACCTTCTTGCAGGCACCTCACGTAATTCACATGCGAGCTGGGGTGAAAATGGGAGAGGCTTCCTTGCAGGACACTATAATCCTTGATGGACTTACAGATGCATTTTATCAGTATCATATGGGTATAACAGGTACGTGGTGACAGTCCAGAAAATTAAATGGTAAACTGGGGAGGGGAAACAATTCACTGATAGGAAATTTCAGAAATCTGAAGTTTCACATAAGGTGTTTCAAGCTGTCCTTAAGTTGTAGTCATGAAGAAGAAAGAAATCCCTAATACTAAAAGACATTGAAGGCATTTTCTGCTTTGTAAAGCTGCTGGTTTGGGGGGGGTGGGGGTGTGTGCCTGAGCTAATGTCACTGCATGTCTTTTGCATCTGAGCAATTTAATTTAATTTCAGGAAAAACAATCAAAATAATTCCTGTATGTAACTGAAGCATTTAGCAGTACAGATTTACAGTGGGCAGAAATTACCTAAAAAAATTACCTAAATTACCATGGATACACCTGGTTCTGCAACTTCAAATTATTGCATCCTGGATGGGATAGTCAGCCAACTGCTTTTGCAGACCCTGCTTATGGAACAGAGTAACTTCAGAACTGTTCCCTCCTCTGAAGTAGTTGTAGAGACATCTGAGCATAATAGGCCAGAGAAGCAATAAACTAGAAAAGCTTGTTTGCATTTGTATTTAACTTGATGGGGAGGAGATCCTGCTCAGGAATTTTCACCCTGAAAATAAAATACGGTAGAGAATAATGAGCAAACAAAATGAGGAAACAAGCTTAGCTGCTTGCTACAGCAAACATTAATAATTATCTTTGTGATTACAATTTTACAACTTAAAATGTTAGTATTTCCTGATGGCAATTTGCATTTTGTTCCTATTTCAGCTGAAAACGTGGCCAATCAGTGGCAAGTCAGCAGAGGGGAGCAAGACCAACTTGCTGTACAGTCACAAAACAGGGCAGAGGCAGCACAGAAAGCTGGCTATTTTACAAAAGAAATTGTTCCTGTTCTTGTACCTTCTAAAAAAGGTAGGTGGGAATGAGACAATGAGAGATGATTTTTAAAGAGAAAATACCTGTTTTCTACTATGTCTCCTATAACCAGTGTATGGTTTCCCACTTATACAGCCTTTTCTGTAAGCTGTACTCTAAGTGTGTAGCCTGTTGCTCTCTTTTTCAGCTTTCAGGTGTTATTTTTTAAATAAGAGAGAATCGGTGCAAATGTGGAATAGCTAAATGTTGCTCTCTGCAAATACTACTGCTGTGTTTTATTTGAGATGTAATCACTACCCAGGCAAACTGCTGAATTAAGCTAGGTTCAGGAATGGTACCAAAATCGGTACTTTTCATTTCATTAGGCTCCTGCTGCACCAAACTTAAAACAGTCACGATCTGGCAAACCTTGCCCACCTAGTAAAATACACAGTGACAATAATTAGGGTTACTAGATAATTAACTAGATCAGGTTACATATATTAGGTATGTTTCTCTTTAGGTCTGTTAGGGATATAACCAGACCTATTCTGGTGCTTGAGCCAAAGGTCTTTTTCTAGAGCAGGGGAATTTCCCCAGCTCTTTGTGAAGTGGATGCAGAAACTGAATTGTCCAAATAGAAATCAAGAATCAGTTGTTCAACATTGGGATTGAATAGAGCCTGTGGGAAAAGTTCTGGCATTAGGCTGGTTACAAACTAATGAAAGGCTTTCTCGATAGCAGTTTAGATAATGATATTTAATGACATGACTATTTGCAGTGAGATTCCTACAAGTATCATTTGGAAGACAGCCTTCTGCTTGGAAGAGAAGCTGTTGTCTTAGTAACAGCAAAAGCAAGATCTGCTTTTGTACAACTAGACTGTATTTTAGTTGTTAGCGTTTGTCTTGGAAAACTCAGCTGTCTGTCCTGCTAGAGGGAGCTGGAGGGTTAGGGCAGTTTGTTGAACTGCACTGGGTTGGAAGCTATCTCTGACATAAGAATGGCTTGTTGGTTAAAAGGACTGTGGCCTGTTGTTTGTGCCAGCTTTGTGTTTGAGATGTCTGCGTGTCTGATTAGACCCTCCTGTGAGTGTAATGCTCTGTTTTGCAGGTCCTATAGAAGTTAAAACAGATGAACACCCTCGACATGGAAGCAACTTGGAAACAGTGGCAAAGCTAAAGCCCTGTTTCCTGACAGATGGAACTGGCACAGTAACAGCAGCTAATGCTTCAGGTTGGTCCATCTGACTAAAACCAAAATGGGAAAGAACAGCAGCTGGTTGTGGCTCTAGACAGGGTCTCTGTGTGGCATTTGGCTGCTCTGTGGTTACTGATGGAAGTGTTTTTGCAGGAAGTGGCAATGTGTTCGACAACATGGGTAGAACTCAAGTATAACTGGTGGAGGATTTCTCTGCAGATGAGTTGTCTTTTGTTTGCCTGCTCTCTATGAACCAATACAAATGTTTGGACAATAGCAACATTTGATAGGCTAGAACAAATAGAAACTAAATCCTCTTATCTTAAAACTGTCTGTCCAGGGGTTTCTAATACTGCAGGTCTACACAAAGGAAAACTTAACAATTCATGTGTGAAAATGTTACTCCTGTGGGACTAACTCTCCTGCCACGGGTGGCTTTGAAACTTCTTCCTTGGGCCCTTATTCTGCCTCTTCCAAAGCATACCTAATAAATCTGATGTGTTCTTTTTTCAGGTTATGCCTCAATTCTACCTGCTGCTTTCCAAAGAGAAATCACAAATGTGTCACATTTACAGCAGTATAGCTGTGTTACCCATTTTAGGTGTTTGTGTCAGAGATCAGATTGGCTGATCTGAACAATACTGACCTAAACCAATAAAATATTTGTGATCTTTGTTTTGTCTAGGCTGTGAACTTATGCAAGCAGGAACAAGGTGGTACAGTAAAAGCCATAAAGCCCATACAGACAAGTTTTTTGTCATTCCACAGGTATAAATGATGGAGCTGCAGCTGTAATTCTAATGAAGAAATCGGAAGCTGCTAGGAGAGGTCTTATGCCTTTGGCTCGGATTGTCTCTTGGGCTCAGACGGGTGTAGATCCATCCATAATGGGTGTAGGGCCCATTTCAGCAATAAAGCAAGCTGTAAGTAATTATCTAGCTATGTACCTATTACTAAAAACCTCTTGCTTGTAACTGCTTTTAATTTTCTGGCCATGTCTTTGTTTTTCTATATATTAAGAAAAACTTAGTAAAAAAAAATAAACTAAGTGAAAACAAAACTTAAAATAGTGGAGAGTATATTAAAAGGTCTCCAAGTATTACCAGGCTAGTGCCTAGTTGTTGGAAAAAAAAATGCATAGGTGTATGAATGGAGCTCAGAGCTCGAACTAGTCAGGTTTGTGGAAAGCCACCTGGATAACTTAGGAGGCTAAAGATCAAATTACATGGATGTGTATACTAACCTAATTTGGGGATGATTTGGTCCAGCCTGCCACGATACGGTTCTGATGTTGTGGCTGGCCAGGTTAATTTTCAGATCACTGCCTGATTGCATTTATAATAGTACCACCCTGGGAGAATGGCCACTGACAGCATCTGCATTAGTATCGTGATGGTGCCCTTTGTGTTTTAGTTTGCCCTGCAAAAAGGTTGGAGCATGTTAAGTTCGATGCATTTCAGATGAAACTAAACAAGGAGTACTCCAGAACCACGTCTAATGTGCTCAGACCATTATTGCACCCACTGATGTGCTCTGTGTTCAGTCCACAGGACAAGTTTCTTGGATAAAACGCCCTGAGTAAGCAGCTCCTGTGGTACCACACAGCTTGCTAATACAGATATAGCCCATGGCAACCCCAGCTGAGTATTTGTTAGGACTGAACTATGAAGAGAGCTCTTGTACAGCTGATAAGGATAGATGTTCTTTAGTATTCCTTCTTAGTTTTATTTATACTGTGTAAAGGCCTTATTTTGTTCATCTCTGTAATATCCTGACAGTGTAGAAGCCTAACTTAAACTCACCCAAGCTCTGTGGCTTTTTAATGGGAAAATCAGAACTATAATGCCTGAAGCTTTTTCTTACCAGATCTCAAACTGTTCTTTTAAATCAAGAATGCTGTAAATGTATATACAATACAGTTTAAATTGTAGAACAGATGCTGTATTCAACAGTATCTATAATTTTATATGTACGCTGAAAAAGGGCACACTACTTCTTAATGTGAATTTTGCAGTGTGTGCTATCAAGCACTTTACACCCTCCATATATCTCTTCAGAATTTCACAGTAGCACTTTATAGTGAGAGAAGGGCTAGGCCCTCCATTTCAGTGTTACAACATAGTAAATCTTAAAACACTTGTCCCAGAAGGTAAATGGTTTCCATATTGTCTCCATACCTAGTAGAAAGAGGCCCTCCTCCTTAACTGTAGTCTTGGAGATGCACCAGTCTGGCTAACTAGTTGTGAAACATCATTGCTGCAGGTAAAGCATTACTGTCAGAAACAAAGTGAGTGGAAGTAACAGTGTAAATATGTGAAACATGCCTAAGCCTGTACGCAAACAGGCAATTGCATCACAGATTTCTCAAGTGAAAACATAAGCCAAACCATCTTCCAAAATAGCTGCCTGTGAAAAGCTTCAAGTGGCAACTCTCGAAGGCAGGAGACTGGACAAATGACACCTGTCACTAATAGTCATGTCACTGTTTCCCGTGTAAAAATAAGTATTAAGGAGAGAATCTTTGTGTCCTGAAAAACTTCCTTTTAATCTCCTAAAATGTACTTTTGCAAACAGTGCTTGTTCTGTCAAGGGCACCACGTGTGGTCCGATTCCCACAATTGCACCACCACCACTGTGTATGTAAGACTGGTCAAGATTTTTTAAGAGCAACCAACATGTTACAGCACGTTGTACTGACTTATGCTGAGACTGAGGTTTTGTCTGTTGCCTTCAAGAATTGTGTCATTAACCCTGGCTTATAAAAAAATTCCTTCAAACTTTCTAGAAGTGGTGGTTTCAAATTGCCCAATTGAAACTTTGGGAAAAGCTTCCTCTAGCACTGAGGAAGACCTAAAAGATAATAAATTAGCCTTTATTTCTTGTTTTCTCAGATTGACAAAGCCAGCTGGACTCTGGAACAAGTTGACCTGTTTGAAATTAACGAAGCCTTTGCATCGCTCTCTGTTGCAATAGCAAAAGAACTGAAAGTAAATCCGGAAAAGGTAATGAGTATGTTTCAGGCTGTAATTACTTTGCCTCCTGTAATTCAAAGTGGCTCTGTTCTGTGCATCTGGATTGGATTCGAGAGACAAGAAGGGTCCTCTTGCAATCATTTTGCCATAGTCAAGAAGGAAGGGGACCCTGGTCGGTATTTCGTTATGCTACTGTGCTGTAGCCCTGCTTTGGTAGCAGGCAGGGGTTCCGGGCTGAACAGGCCCCTGGACTATGGCAGCACAATTAAATGCAAAGCTGCATAACTGCTTGAGCACACTTAGTTCACTTCAGCATCTGAACTTGCTTACTGGAACCATATTTGACACATTCATCTTCAAACTCAGCTAAGCTAGCTCAGTAATTTGCCTTTCTGTATTTTTTTTTTTTTAGATTAATATCCAAGGTGGAGCTATTGCTCTTGGCCACCCTCTTGGTGCCTCAGGTTGTCGCATCCTTGTTACTCTTCTACATGCACTGGAACGAACAGGTGGAAAACGTGGTGTTGCTGCTCTTTGTATAGGAGGAGGAATGGGAATAGCCATGTGTGTTGAGAGATGAATGTGACTGGAAGAACCTAATGTTAACTAGCTTTTAAACAGTTGACTAATAAAACTTCTAATCATGGAGCTTACACGTGGTTGTTTTGCCTAAAATTCACTAAGCTTTTTGCCACTTAATCACTGCCTTGACAAAAAGATTAGTGGCTACTGCAGGCTTGAGTTAACACACATCAGAGCTTAAATTCTCAATGCAAGGACTATCCTCACTTTCAAGAATTTGTCCACGAGAAAATTGCAGCAGCATTCAACCACTTGTTTTATTAACATTTTAGTTACAAGAGTGGGAAGTGTAAGTTAAACATAAATAAAATCTAAGTTATTCTTCAAGTGCTCCAGAGTGAACTGCATCCTCATAGCACCCTCTCTCTTCTTTAGTTTCAGGGTGCAGTTTAATAAGATCATCAATTCGAAGAATAGTAATTGCAGCTTCTGTTGCAAACTTTAGGCTCTTAGTTTTGACCATGGTTGGTTCAAAGACACCAGCTTGCTTGTTATCACGAGGTTTTCCATTGATCAAATCAAGACCAATCCTGCAAAGAAGAAAATAGTGTCAGATGAGAGGTAGGAAAAGTAGAGATAGAGTTGGGAGTATGCTCTTTAACTACTACTCGGTGCCAGTGGCACTTATGCAGGACTGAAGGATGGAGGGAGGAAAGTCTTCAGTGATAACATATGCCCTTTTTTCCATGTAAATCATGGTTCAATGAACTGGCAGAACAATTTTCTATATAAATCACCGACCCACTTCACTTTTAATAGCCTTCCTAGAGGTAGATACTTGCCATTTCAGGTTTTTGCGATCTGGGTTAACTTGAGCCTCGTTGTGGAACGCTCTCAACTTTGCAACAAGATCTGTCGCATCTTGAGCAGCATTTACTGCCAAAGTATTTGGAATTATTAAGAGGGATCTTGCAAATTCTGCTATCGCGAGTTGTTCACGTGATCCCTAGAAAGAGAATAAAGTTTTGTTGCAGCAGTTGGTTTGAAAAACAAAAGAATACAGCCACAAGTAAGAGTGTCAAGAATTGACACGCAAAAGCCTATTTTTAATTCTTTGACCTATCTGGTCTAATTAAGAGAGAAATAGTAATTCATATCCTCCATTTTAAAGAACCATTTTGCATTCTGTAAGATGATTTAAGTTTCTATGAACCACAGAACTGACTTCCAGTAAACAAATGCTTGAAAATTCAATTTTTCCTAGTTTAACACATGGCATGCACACTTACTTCTTCACGCAAGACTTACCATGCTGGTTGCGTAGTTTTCAAGATATATTGAAAGTGCTGCCTCTACAGCACCACCACCTGGGACCACAGACTTGGATTCCAATACCCTTTTAACAACACAGAGCGCATCATGTATAGATCGCTCCATTTCATCACACATGAAGTCATTTGCTCCTCGTAAGATAATTGATGCTGAAGTACGAGCTTTTGTGCTGGGGGGAAAAAGGAATCAGAAGTCAGTTGTGTTGAACACAATATAAATGACAACTCTTCTTGATGAAATTTTTCTTATAAAGGCAAGTTCAGTTGCGCCAGATTCTTTTGATATTCAAAAGAAAATCTCAACATTGTTATGCATTCTTGCAGGATGTGTGCATCGTAACTTAGTATAAGTCAGCCAGTCTTCCACTACAAATGGTAAGATGTAGTTGATACCTCCTTATTCAGATGGCACCTATTTCTCTTTACTGTCTGTAAAGGGAAGCCAGTTTAGAAAAGTCAATCTATCCGATTGTGTCTCGCGTTATGGTTGATGAAACAGGTGTCCAGCCCATGCAGAAGACATTCACCTCTAATTTGCAGTGGACTTGCATCCTCTTTTCTATGCATATAACTACTCATACCACTGAAATAGCATGGAAATAAATAAATGGGATTTTATCTCAAACTTAGTAGAAGGTGTACACAAAACCAAGTATTTTAAAAAGGATCCTTACTTTTTGATTAAAATCAGCTCATCATCACAGATTCTTTCCTGAATCACCTCTTCTGCCTGTCCCAGCATTAATGCTTCAAAACTCTCCTCACCTTCAAGGTTTGCAAGGGTTGAACATATGGTTGCTTTAATGAACAAAGAAAGTGAAATTAGCATTCAATTCCAGCACATCCTTTGCTGACTACCCAGAAAAGGCATACAGAAAGAAAAACAGCAATAAAAGCAGCAGAAGCAGATTTTTCTTATTCAGGTAGCAATTCAACATTCCAGTTTGTAATTGATACTGCTATTTTTACTCAACTTTTACAGCACTTACTTTTCCACAGCTAGTACAAACTCCTGCACTTTACCAGAATGAAAATGCTTTTTGCAGATTTTAAGAATTGACAGATAAAAATCTGTATAGGACCAGAAACTTTTTCAGTACGCCTTTATTGATTTAGGAGTTTGTTTGTCTTGAACTATCTAAACAATGTACTTAACTGTCCAAACAGAAGTTTATTAATGTATGCTTAATAAAGACTTCTAAATAAATACAGGTTCTGGCTCAGCTCTACCCATCCTCCTCTCCTTGCACAGCTTACATGTTAAGAAGCCAAATTTTGAAAATGAGTTACTAATACCCTAACAGCTTTTACTTAAAGAAAAAAAAAAATCTATATATACATACCTCCAGATGCCTTAGCAATCCGCTTAAGGTCCTTTTTTACAACTCTTCGTACTGCCATAGCACCAGCATCAACAAAATATTTCAGACACATATCATCAATACCTCCAGTGGTGAGAATAACATTGGCACCAGTGGCCAGAATCTTCTGGATCCTTTCTTTGGTAATATCTGACTCTCTGCAACAATAAAAGTGAAAGTTATAAAAAAATCTACTTAAAATCCAGAATCACATTCTGTCAACCCATTTCCTGAAACCTTAATGCAGAGCCCTGGAAGGAGAAGGGACCATTGCACATACTTGGATTTCTTGAGAACTGAATTAATACTAGTTCTGCCCTCAGAAGTGAAGACTTTTACCATTAATATTTGGTATTGTTGGGAAACATTTAAAATATTTTTACTTCTTGTGCTTAGCCAAAATTACATTGAACCACCTCAGCTGAAGAGACAAAAACAAGCCTGTGAAACCCCACTGTCTCAGTTACCCAAACTTCCACACACCTCTGCCTTATCTGGTCCAGCTTCTCAGGGTCTGAGATAACAATCTGAACACCAAGCTTCATTTTTGCTTTCTGCAGGCTGAAATCAAGGCATGCAATCTTTGCGTTAACTATTCTCTTGGTCATACCTGACAAGAGAAAACAAGAAATAAAAAGGATTTCGTCAATTTAAGAGAACGTCAAGTTAACATTACAGATTAAAACTGTTACTTTCACATTTCAGATTCCTATTAAGTTGGCTTCTCTGCCTCCAGTTCTGCCCTAGTACAGAAAAATGCTAACAGACTTTCAAAGAGGTTTTCTAAAAAAAATACCTCCTGTAACCTGTTACCTTTCCCCATCCCCACAACATGAATGCCCATGAAAAGCTGATCCATCAGTCTCACACCCTTTAGGTTACCTCATCCCAATACAGCTCTGCTAAATGTACCAGCTCCCTATGAACTGGATGTTGGCTCCCCACAAGGGAGGTGCTCATGTTCCAGAAGATCTCAGTGTTGACAGGCTGATACTGAGTGAGGCAAACTACAGTAACTTGCCTACTAGCTGGCAGACCCTAGAAACCACTAGCGAAGCAGCAGGTTTCTAATGTGTTCTTGTTTAATTGTTCTGGAATTGAAAACCCACAGGATTTGGAACGTAACAAGACCCATGCAGAAACACTAAGAGGGCTGTGTTCCTACAAAAGCATTACAAAACAGCATGTTCTTACCCTGCGAGCCCACCACACAGTTCAGAGCGTAACCGTTCACAAGTATGCTCTCTTTTTGGCTGCGGCCGTGTGCCTTCAAAACATTAACCGAGTTGATTGGATACCGAGCCTGACCCTTCTGGTCAGTATATTTAACTGCCTGTGCAGCATCCACCACCATATTAGCAAAGAAATCACCATCACTAAAATGCTGTTAAGGTTAAAATTGAAGAAGAAAACTAGCACTACACTTAAACAAAAAAGTCACTGACAGTGCCCAAACTAAGTCAAAAACTGTTTCCAAACAAGAACTCCAGAAAGGCATGAAAGTGCTAGCTTTCTTTACCACTGCCTTAAAGGAAAGTAATTCTTAAAGCTGAAATGCTCGTAAGAAAATTAGGACAGGCTAGTGTAATGCTTGCACTTTACACACCTTTTGTTCCTCAACAAAAATACCCATCCTATGGTCAGTTTGTATTCCCTTGTTAGCACAAAATCTAAATGCAGGTTTTTTCGGTGACTATGCAGTAAAATGCAACCTTCTTTCCTCTAGTTTCACTCCCCAGGCACTTGACTTCTGCAACACATTCTTCCATTCACACAAAACCTTACCTAGTCTCACTAACAAGCAATGTCATAAGGAAACTATTAATACACTGTTAAAGGTATCGTTATGTGCCTAACCAGGCTTAAATAAATTGTAAAGAGTCTGAACATGTTTTCCTATGTCAGAAAATAGTATCTCTGAAATATTTTTCACACCCCTGTTAGAAAAACAGCTTGAATGCCCCCTTTCATAAAAACTGCTACAGAGAAAACTAGCCTAGCTACTCAAGCTCTCCAATCAACCACTTTCACATAACTAACTTGATCAAGTTAAAGGATACATTCCTATAATTTTAGAGGACATTGATGTTTTAGCAGCATTAATTAGGCACTCCCTGCCCAATTCATCTGTGTTAATAATAAGATTTTCATTGATGTAGCGAACTGCTTCCCTGTAGAATAAAGAGAAATACTGGTAAAGAATTTCACCCCCACAAAAAGACAAAAATCTTACATGTTTTCAGCCCTTCTAAATGTTACCTCACAGAACACAGGCATGAAATCAGTTCCTCTTCTATGACAGGAACATGACATTTTAATGTGATTGCAGAAATACAAAATTTAGAACAACCCCAAACCAACCAAAAAGCCCCAAACAAAACACTTTATCCACTTTGCACCAAGAAGTTTGTATTAACAGTCACAAATACAGAAATAAACAAAAAGCATGCAGTTATTGTACCTTAAAAAATGCAATGTACTTGAACTGTATTATTTTCTTACTTGCAAGCAAGTCGGTATCCGCCAATAATGGAGGTAGGATGAATTTTCTGTTTCACTAGTTCATCTGCATTTTTTAGAAGTTCTGCAGCAATAATTACCTGTTTAAAATACAAACACTATATAGATGTATTCCATACAAAGTAACCACCTGTTGCCATTAAGTGGAAAGCAGTCACAAAGAGTCCTACAATGTCCAGTCAATGGAAACAAGTACTTGCAACCTATAGTTTCTGACATCAGGTAAAACCACCTGATTCCACTCTTTTCAACACTCAGCATCCTTATTAGTGGTAACACTTTCTCAATCTTCAAGAAATGAAAAAATTATGAATAGTTGTTAAATTTACAAAAATTTAATGAACAGCATATTATGAAATTTTTACGAATTATGAAAAATTTGAATACTGAAACTGCAATAGGCAAATTCCATTCCAGAGCACCAGTTGCATATGGAAACTATAATCTCTAAAAACCCACAAGTCTAATTTGTTTATTCTGTAACCTACTTTGAAAAAACTTTCGGTGTATCTGCCTGTAATGCTTTCTTACATACCACTGAGGTTGTCCCATCGCCAACCTCTTTGTCTTGCAGGTCTGCCAGCTCACAAAGAACTTTTGCAGCAGGATGTTCCACTTCGAGCAGTTTCAGAATGGTTGCACCATCATTAGTAATGGTCACGTCCTAATTTTCAAAAATCAAATGTTAATACAAACTGTGTTTCTATTGTGGTTTTATTGTTGTGTTTCACAACATTAATACAAACGAAAATTAATTATTCTTTGCAAATAGCCATACAATTAACTATTTATACCCAATGCTTAATGCTTTTTTAACCAGGAGTCCCATTCTAACAACAGAAATATTAACAGTCTTTATGTTACAGAAACTCATCAAACATTTTGCATGTACCAGATCAGTAGTAGTGCAGTGACTACTCTCTAATACAGTATTTTATTACAGTAGCCTGTAAAATGGCAAACCTTCCTCATTTGCTTCAAATGTTTTAAAATCTGAAATATGGAATACTGCTTCAGAATTGTTATGGCATTATTTATTTTTTGTTATTTCTCCTAATGTGGAGACCAGGATATAGAAGTCAACACCATCACAAGGCCTGACTTTAAATGTAATGGTGATATTAATTGCTGTGAATTTGACCAATACTTGTTAGTGACAAGAACTTTTATGTAGAAAGGAGACACCTGTACCACATAAGCTACAGTGCCAGATTAAACTAAAATCATGTAGCATACATTACCTGATGCTCAGTTTTACCACAGTTCTCCTAACCCCCTCTCAGAACAATGGAAAAAAACAGGCATGTGCACATTAAACCTACAAAGCACACTAAGTGGAAGCACTTTTACACAAGAACACAAACCCTCCTCATGCTTCTTAAAGCTTACTTACCCCAATATCATCTACCAACATCTTATCCAGACCAACAGGCCCAAGAGAACTCTTCACAATATTGGCAATAGCAGATGCAGCAGTAACTGAATAAATGAAGAAAAGAATTTTTACCTTTACAGCTTTATGGTGATTCAGGTTTACAAAAAAATGCACCAAGAATCTACCAGTCAGAAACCTGAAATAAGCGACCTAACTCAGGATTACGTTTCAGCCTAACTAAGCTGGGAATGGCTTGATGCTACTAAAAACCACAGCTGGTGCCAAACCTCACTCTTCCCTCCAAGCTGGTTCAGCTAACCAACATGGCAAAACTAACCAATCAGAAAAAAAGAATCGTCTTCTGCTGGCTTGGTAAGATGGAGGACCTAGTGAGGTCAGAAGAGCAGTAGCTTAGCAGAGCAGGCAGACAGCACTGTTTCTTTTGGCTGCAGCAAGTCATGCCATGAAACTTCACTCTCATTCACACCTCAGTTCTAGGTAGATACAGAACTATGGTATCACTGTATATCAATTACTCATCTTTTTGTCCCGATCAGGTAGGTCATTGACTGAGACAAAACATTTATTCGGTAACTAAGTCAAGCAAGTGAAAAGTGACCTTTCAGCCACTACTAAAGTAACATGAAACCTCTAAAACGGCAGCTTGTGTTTAAAGGATGTTCAGCCAACTTCATATAGGAAAAAGATACAATCAACCTTTTCCTTCAGACCGTGGCAAGTTTTTCTTTATCCCACAAGCATAGCCACTTAATCTGTAAACTGAAAAAGTGGTAGTAGAATGGGAATAATTATAACTCAAACCTTCACTCTGAACTTGAAACAATGTAGCTATTTGGCTTTTGTTTTGGAGGATTAATGACAGCTTTCTGAAAGAAACACCCGTTGTATCAAAGGGGCTGTTATCAAACAGAATCTCAGCCGTAGATTAAGGTAATTCTCATTATAAGTGTTTTGCATAAAGTATCTTCAGAGCTACGTGATCACGACTATCAGGAAGCAGCTCTTCAGCTCCTTCCTTTGTCTTTTATCTCCTCAGAAATAGAGAACAGTCTCGGAATTTGCAGCCTTCTCCCAACATCTGGGATAAAACTCTGAAAAACATGGAACCTTTTAAAGCTACAGTTGAAGGCACTCACCCTGAGGAGGGTCCCCGTTTTCAGAAGCGTGTTATTTCCCCGTACCGTTGACCAGTAAGCTTCCCCACCCGCCCCTTTCCCACCAAGGTTCCTCGGCCATTCTGCAGCGCCTTGTCGGCTCACGCTCTCCGAGTTCGGAACGGGACGGGCCCGACCTCCCTTCGGCAGCCGCCCCGCTCCCGCTGTGCGCTTTTACCAAGGAGGAAAGGGGGATGTGGGACCCCTTGGCGGCCGAAGACGCTTGGGAGTGGCGCGGGATCGCGCGGAAGTTCTCGCCTCCTCATGGAGGCTGCGGAGAAGGAGCAGGGCCGG